TCTGTCCCCGCACCTGTCCCCAGCTCCCTGCCCCGCTTGCCGGGTCCCCGGACCACCCTGAGCAGGCGCCAGTGGATAATGACCTGGGTAACAGGCGGCCAGGGTGTGGCCATGTGCCGGGTGCCCGAGCTTTATGCACGGTGGAAGCAGCTGGACACACAGGCCCCTTTCCTGCTCCATGTAAGTGCAGCCTCGGCCACCTCCTCTGGCGAGTGGAAGGCGGGCCTTGTGGCCCAACCAGCCCTGGGCACGACGCCCTCCTTCCCTTGGCAGCGCCCCCTGCCCTGCTCCAAAGGCTGGTGGTCGCCTTCGGCCCAGGACCAGCGGGTCTCAGAGACGGAGGCACATGCGCCTACAGTAACAGAACCCTGGAGCGCATCCAGCAAAAGGGCAGGGTTGAGTTCTGGCTCCTACGTGGTTGACTAAGCTATTCATGAAGTCCCACCTCACCGCCTCCAATTAATTGGTTGCCAGATAAATAGCCCCGCTGCCGGGAAGCCGTCCTGCCTTGGGAAGGTTTCCCGGAGATGGAGGTGAGAGGCTGGCGGGTGCCCCTACCACTCCGAGAAAAGGGTACGCTGGTTCTTTGCCCATGCCTGGAGGACGGGCTCAGTGTTGGGTGAGTTTTAACTCAGCTAAAAGGTTGAGACCACCCCGGCACCAATTTATTGTCTGAATTCCAGTTAATCGCCAAGTTGCTATGAAGAGCTGTGTGCAGTCTAAGTTCCTTCCTTTCTCCTCTCCCCTGCTCACCCTCTGGGCTGAATTTTTCTAAGAACAGAGTGTTTTCATTATAGAAGAATTACTGGATTATCTTCCTAACATCACTTCTCAATAAAACCTTAGCTAAATTATTTAAATCGTGGTGTCGTAGTTTCATATGTAGAAAATTCAGAAAACCAGTTTCCTGGAGAAATATCCTATCTTTAGGACTTAAAAATTCTTTTTTTGAGTTGGAGTCTCACACTGTCCCCCAGGCTGGAGTGTAGGAGCACACTCACAGCCACTGCAGCCTTGACCGACTGAGCTCAGGCAATCCTTCCGCCTCAGCCTTTCAAGTAGCTGGAACTACAGGCACGTGCCACCATGCCTGGCTAATTTTTTGGTTTACTGTAGAGATGAGGTTTCGCCAAGTGGCCTGGACTAGTCGCGAACCCACGGGCTCAGGCAGTCCTCTCACCTCGGCCTCCCAAAGTGCTGGGATCATAGGCATTAGCCACCCTGCCCAGCCAGGACTTAAAAATTCAAACCCACATTGAGGGAAACATTTCAGCCAAGATTTGCACTGACAAAGCACTTTTTTTTTTTACCTTTGATTTTCCAGATATTTGGAATGAAAAGGACATGCATTAAACTACTAGACAGAATGTTGTATATGTATATGCAAGATACTTGCTTTATCTTAGACTCAGTTTTGTCACGTGCAAAAGGAAATGCCCACCTCCCTGTCTCACAGTGTTGAGATAAGTGTTGAATGAGACAGTGCCTGCAGAACCTCTTTATAAGTTGTAAGAGACTACACAAATGTACATTGATGGTACAGCCTGGGTATCATAACATAATTCTACATTTGTTCCACCAGCCACTTATGAATCAGTGTGGTTCCATCAGCTGCAAGAAATAAAGGAAGTTCAGCGAGAAGAAGCTCTCCAGCTCCCAGAAGACTTGGATTACTTCACTGTCAGGGATGTGTCTTTGTCCCATGAAGTTCGAGAGAAACTAAATTTCAGTCGTCCACAGACGGTAAGAATATAGGCAGGGAGATAGGAACACATTATAAAGATTTGGCCCGACTCGGTGGCTCAACCTGTAATCCTAGCACTTTGGGAGGCCGAGGCGAGTGGATTGCCTGAGCCCACGGGTTCACGACCAGCTCAGGCAACTTGGCAAAACCTCATCTCTACAATAAATCAAAAATTAGCTGGGCATGGTAGCATACACCTGTAGTTCCGGCTACTTGGAAGGCTGAGGTGGAAGGATCGCCTAAGCCCAGCAGGTTGACTGGGGTGGCTGGGAGCGAGCCACTGCACTTCAGTCTGGGCAACAGAGTGAGACTCCAACTCAAAAAAAAAAAAAATAGACATCATGTAAACCAGGCAAATAGGCCTTAAATTTTATAACTCTGTCCTTTCCTATTGATTTCAGGTTATGTGTATATAGATAATCATAGCTACACTGCCCAACACAGTGCCACTAGTTAACTAGCTGTGGTTACTTATATTAACTAAAATGAAACTTAAAATTGGACTTTTCAGTCTCACTAGCCATATTTCAAGTGCCTGGTAGCCAAATATGACTAATGGCTGCCATATTGGACATTGCATTATTACATTGCAAATGTTAGCAAGTTTCCTAAGGAAGTTAACCTGGATAGCATTAGTGAGTTCAGAAACCTCTGGCCACAATTTCAAAATGCAGAAAGCTGACAGAAGTTTGTCACAAATTCATTTGGGTAGCAAAACTGACCTCAACTGACATGAGACTATTTAGTCTTCATACCACTTAGAGTAAATATTTATGCATCTCAGGGTAAAAAAAACACTGCAGAAGTATTAATGGGATTAAAAATGCAGGGTGCTACCCCACACATGCTGGAGCTATTGTTACACTATGTAATAATACATATTATAAAAATGTACAGCCTAATGAATTTCAAATAAGGAACCGTGGACCTATATTTGAAAAAAAGAAACGCTATTACAATTTTCTTAGTTAATGAAAAGAAAAATAAGCATTTTAACACCTATTAGTTACATGATCTTGCACAAGTCATTTTAACTTTTCTGAGCCTCTATTCCCATTTGTAAAATGGCATGAATAATCACGTTTCCTCTGCCTACTTTTCAAGATATGACATTAGGATAATAGTTATAAAAATGCTTTATAGACTGCACTCTACAGGTTATTAGCAGGACAGTAGATTTGACTTGATATAGTTCACTTATGTTTCTGTTGTATTTTAATTCTTAGATCGGGGCTGCTAGTCGCATACCTGGAGTGACACCTGCTGCCATCATCAATCTGCTCAGATTTGTGAAGACCACTCAGCAAAAACAAGCCCCCAGGAATGAATTGCCCAAGACTGATCAACACTTATGTGATACAGACAAACTTGAAGAGAGGGAGTGATAGCTTCCAATTCATGGGAGAGTTTTTAAAGAGTATGTGGATAATTTGATCAATATGAGAGTATAGATAAGAGATAAGAATTATTTAGCACCTGTTACAATAGCTGTATTAGGTTACTGTGGATTTGTCATCAATTTATGAAGAGGAAAGAAATAATTGTGCTTTTTTGTGTATCTGAAAAACGTTGTAAACAATTTATACTCTGTTCTAAGGAGTTCTAATATATTAATCCTATTCATAAAACTTTTTGCAGTGTTCATCAAAGAGCTATGTAGTGAACCTGAAACTAAGCTGGAAAAAAAAATGAGCCATGATCATGCCACTGCACTCCAGCATGGGTGACAGAGTAAGACCCTGAACTCAGAAAAATAATAATTAAAACACAAATACTTTATAAGAGTTACCTGGAGCAGTCAAATTCACAGATGAAAAGTAAAGTGGTGTTGCCAGGGAATGGGGAGGATGGAAAATAATTGCTTAATGGGTACAGAGTTTCAGTTTTGCAAGGAAAAGAGTTCTGGAGATGGTTGGTGGTAATGGTTACACAACAGTTTGAATGTATTAAATGCCACTGAACTGTACATTTAAAAATGGTTAAAAAGAAAAATTGAGCTGGGCTCGGTGGCTCAGCCTGTAATCCCGCGCCTTTGGGAGGCTGAGGTGAGTGGATTGCCTGAGCCCGCGGGTTCGAGACCCGCCTGGGCAACTTGGCGAGACCTCATCTCTACAATAAATCAAAAAATTAGCTGGGCATGGCAACACATGCCTGTAGTTCAGCTACTAGAAAGCTGAGGTGGAAGGATCGCCGGAGCCAGCAGGTCGAGGCTGCAGTGACTGGGAGTGGCCACTGCACTCCAGTCTGGGTGACAGAGTGAGACTCCAACTCAAAAAAAAAAAAAAAAAAAAGAAAAAGAAAAATTGTCTGTTTCATCACAGTTTAAAAAGTCAGATGAGACCAGACACAGTGGCTCATGCCTATAATCTCAGCACCTTGGGAGGCTGAAGCGGGAGGATTACATGAAGCCAGGAGTTCGAGACCACAGCCTAGGCAACATAGCAAGACCTCACCTCTACAAAAAATTTAAAAATTAGCCAGGTGTGGTGGTGCCTGTAGTCCCCGCTACTTGGGAGGCTGAGATGGAAGGATTACTTGAGACCTGGAGTTTGAAACTCTAGTGACCTATGTTTGCACCACTGCACACCAGCCTGTGTGACAGAGCAAGACCCTGTCTCTAAAAAATAAAATTCCAGGTCAAGCTGGGCACGGTGGTGCATACCTGTAGTCCCAGCTACTCAGGAGACTGAGGCAGGAGAATCACTTGAGCCCAGGAGTTCAAGGCCAGCCTGGGTAACACAGCGAGACCCCATCTCAAAACAAACATGTATATATAATTTATATCCATATGTAAATATAGATATAATGTTATGTGTGTGTATGTATATGTGTGTATGTGTGTATAATATATATATATATATATATAACTTAAACCAGATGAGTTAATTTGCTCAGTCCCCCAAGCCTGTTTTGTTTTTGATAATTTATCCCCTGCTTACTTTTATTTTTTTACTTTTTTTTTTTTTTTGAGTTAGAGTCTCACTCTGTCACCCAGACTGGAGTGCAGTGGCTGCTCCCAGCCACCACAGCCTGGACCTGCTGGGCTCCGGCGATCCTTCCGCCTCAGCCTTCCAAGTAGCTGGAACTACAGGCGCACGCTACCACACCCAGATAACTTTTTGGTTTACTGTAGAGATGAGGTCTCACCAAGTTGCCCAAGCGGGTCTCGAACCTGTGGGCTCAGGCACTTCACTCACCTCAGCCTCCCAAGGCGCGGGATTACAGGCTGAGCCACCGAGCCCGGCTACCTGCTTACTTTTAAAAAGACTGGAGATGTTTTAAAGTAAAATACAACAGCTGAAGGTTAAAGATCAGCTGAGGAAAGGCAGAGTACACTTAAATTCCAACGCTGAGCTTCCTGGCAGTCGAATTCTTTCTCAGGGAGACCAAGAGAAACTTTTCTTATTACTAAAATCTAAGAGAAATTGATCACATGACCTCTTTAGGAAAATACTGCCTTCATTAGTGATTCCACAAAAGATAAAGGTATCTGTAACCTAATATTTATTGTGTGCCATACACAAAGCTAAGTGCTTTACACATACTATTGCATTTAACCCATGGTAAAGCTGTTCTGTTCTAGAGATGAGACAGGACTTGGAAAATATAATAAGTAACTTGCCTGTGATCAATAGTGCTAGTTGTCTTCCCAATAAACCAGATCTTCCTGCTGTCCTCTCCCTAGACCGAATAATTGGGATTTGGTTCACTTTCTCTCTGCAGCCGCATAGGCCAAGTCTTCATTTGTTTGTACCAAGCTTGATCATTTCATAACCCAGTGTTCCCTCTATGCCTGATACTGGGGTGCAAACTGACCTAGTGAACTGCAAAGGGTGTCTTCCGGGTGGCTTCTCTGCCCTTAAAAAGAGTACTTCTGGGTGCCATGGCTCACACCTGTAATCTCAGCAATTTGGGAGGTGGAGGTGAGAGTATTACCTGGGTCCAGGGTTCGAGACCAGCCTGGGCAATTTGGTGAGACCTCATCTCTACAATAAATAATTTTTTTTTAAATTAGCCAGGTGTGGTAGCACATGCCTGTGGTTCCAGCTACTTGGAAGGCTGAGGTGGAAAGATCACCTAAGCCCAACAGGTCGAGGCTGCGGTGGCCATGACCTGAGCGACAGAGTGAGAATCCAACTCAAAAAAAAAAAAGAGCACTTCTCAAAGGAAATAATTTTTTTTTAAGTGGCACTTTTTTGAGGTGTTGAAAGTCTTATGAAATTAGATTATGGTGATGATTGCACAACTCTGAAGATTGAATTGTACACTTTAAAAGGGTGAATTTTGACTGGGCACAGTGCTCACACCTGTAATCCTAGCACTCTGAGAGGCCAAGGGGGGCCAATCACTTGAGCCCAGGAGTTCAAGGCTGCAGTGAGCCATGATTGCACCACTGCACTCCAGCCTGGGCAACAGAGCAAGACCCTGTATCTAAAAAAAAAAAAAAAAAAAGTATTTCTTTACTGGATGCAGTGGCTCACGCCTGTAATCCCAGCACTTTGAGAGGCAGAGGCAAGAGGATTGCCTGAGCCCAGGGGTTTGAGACCAGTCTGCCTGGGCAGCTTGGTGAGACCCCATCTCTACAATAAAGAAAAATTGACTGGGTATGGGAGCGCATGCCTGTAGTTCTAGCTATTTGGAAGGCTGAAGCGGAAGGGTTGCCTGAGCCCAGCAGGTCAAGGCTATGGTGGCCATGAGCGTGCTACTGCACTCCATTCTGAGAATTTTAAATGTGATTTTTATAGTATGTGATGCATCAATAAAATTGTTATCTTAAAAACACGAATGGAATTTATAGTTGGCAAACATTGATTCTCAAATCTGGTTGGACATCAGAATTCCCAGTAGAACTTGTAAAAAATGTCGATGGCCAAGCTTTTCCCCATGCAGTTCTGATTCAGATGGCCTGGGGAGGGCTTGGCATCTGCTTCACAAGCTCCACAAGCTGTTCTGATGCCCAGCCAACTGTGAGAACCACTGGCTGGCCTCCATCAGTATCCATTGTCATGGCTACTTTTGGCAGAAGTTAAACTGCAATTAATTTACCAGTGTGTGCTAGCTCAGGATCCCAGAATGCAAACATTCTGTATTGTTGAAGCACTAAAGCAATTTGGTTGCAAAAGCCGAATTCACATTCTGTTACAGAAATCCAAGTCTAAAGGAAAACCATTCCACTTTCCAGTGAAAGTAGAGCTGTGATGATTTGTGGCTAAGACAAAATATTTTTCAGCATAAGGTTTGAGACCACTTGAATGCCTGGACAAGTGTAAGTTGAGACCCTATGCTTTCATGCCCCAGAGAAAGAATACAAATATTTTGACCTGCAACCTCATGTTGACTGTCACTGACCAAAATCAGCGTTTTCCAAACTTCTGGCTACAATTCATGATGTTTTTCTTCCTTAGATAGTATATACTATTCTCTGAAATATTTGTTTCAGTATTTTTTCTTACTTGGCATGATCATGGCTTACCACATTTAAATTCCTGGGCTCAAGAGATCCTCCAACCCCAGTCCCCCGAGTAGCTGGGACTACGGGTGCATTCCTTCACACTCAGCTAATTAAAAAAATTTTTTTTGTAGATACAAAGTCTTGCTATATTATCCAAGCTGGTCTTGAACTCCTAAGCCTCAAGTGATCTTCCTACCTTGGCCTCCTAAAGAGTTGAGAGTACAGGCATGAGCCTAGCCTGTTTCAGTAATTCGCAAAAATTATATTCAATTTTAAAGTAATTTTTTTTACTTTAATGTGTGTAAATTAGTGTATGTCTTATAATCAGTGGCATCTTAGAATTATAATTGGTAGCATTTTTGACTAGCAACTGAAAAATGTCTTAAATGCATGAAATAAGTGTAGGTGTTTGTACTGTGCTGTAATGTAAAATTTATTTCTTACTGTGGATCACAGTCAAAAGTTCGAAAAGCACCAACCATCTATTTGAAAAGCATTGCTTTTTGATGGGAAAACCCCAATAGGTTAGGATTCTTTTACATCTGTATATCCTCAAAGGAAGAATTTTTCTCAAAAAAAAAAAATTGTTTTTTGAGTCAGAGTCTCACTCTGTTGTCCAGGTTGGAGTTCAGTAGCACGTTCACAGCCACTGAAGCCTCGACCTGCTGGTCTCAGGCGATCCTTCCACCTCATCCTCCCAAAGTGCTGGGATTACAGACTTGAGCCACCGTGCCTGGCTCTAAAGTTTTTTAAAACATTAAGTCTTTCTGATCTCTTCCTGTGCTCTAATTCTACAGGCATAACTTGCCCTTGTGAAATGACATAATGAAAGTCTAACTTCAAGTTGCTGTTGAGCATGTTGACTTCAGGTGTCTGACTTGACAACACTGTTCCATCACTTTCAGTGGGCTTTTTCCTCCCCAGGACCAGAGGTCCTCTACTGCAGGGGTCCCCAGTCTCTGGCCGCCAGCCAGTACCAGTCTATGGCATGTTAGGAACCAGGCTGCACAGCAGGAGGTGAGCAGGGAGTGGGCTCTGCCTCCTGTCAGATGAGCCACAGCATTAGATTCTTACAGTAGCACGAGTGAGGGAGCTAGGTTGCACACTCACGAGAACCTGTGAGAATGTCTGATCTGATGCCTGCCCCAACCCATGGAAAAATTGTCCTCCCCAAAACTGGTCCCTGGTGCCAAAAGGTTTGTCCCTGGATAGAAAGTTTCTCCATCTACACAGTGTGACCTTGAAGTCTTTTTTCTTCTTTTTCTTTTTAGTTGAACCTCTTTTTCCCACTTCCCCTCTTTAGAACTGATTGCATGGTAAGCATTCATGGAGCTGCCATGCTTAGTTAGCCATGATAGTGCTCACTCTAATGTAAAGGTTATCAGAGTTTAGAGGCCGTAGGGGAATTTAGAGACAGCTATGAGAAAACGTTATTTGTGCCCAATCATAGCCTGAATAAAAAACCCCTCATTTCCCAATAGACACTGACTGAGTTGCCAGCTCAAGACAGTATCTGCAAGAGGTTCAACAGTCAGTCAAGAAGGCATGATAGTGGTACCATGAGGAGCTGCAGGCCAGTGCAGGCCCTTCCTTTGTTGCACTGATAGAGTGGCATCACTGACATCCATCTGGTTACAGTCTAGGCCTCAAAGTGTTGTAGATGCCCTCACTGGAAGGACAGGAACCCTTGCTCAGTGTGGGTGCCTCCGGACAGCACTAGGTCTCAAACTTTTGTGCACAAGTGGCAGTCCTAGTTTATTGCCAACACCACCTAGAACATTCAGTCACGAGTTTACTGAACATTTATTTAGCCAGCAGATGTGTAACCTCTGAAAACCACACCTGCAGGACCATACCACACTGTCTTCTGTGTGCCTTTTCACATAAGTGTGACTGCTTATTTCCGACTTAGATCTACTTGGTTTTTTTAGACGAGTAATGACCTACATTTTAGACCTGTCTCAAAAGGGACTGTATTAAAGGCAGCATCCAAACTCTGTATGTTGTTGCTTTGATCTATTTTGAGTTAGTTTTAAATGTAAGATTTGACAAAAAGCACAACTACCTGAACTCATAAGGAAATCATGACTGGCTAAAATAGAAACTTTTAATTTTTAGTACAGATATTATTCCCACCCTAACCTTGTATCTTTAAGTGGCAGATTATTTTTGTCTGCCCAAAAAGGGAAAGTAAATTTAAAGCTATCACCTACTTTGCCTTGCTTTTACTAAACATCTGCTTAAGATTTTCATGATTGCCTTGTGATTAAAGTTGTGAAATACAGCTTAGATGATAGTATTAGGTGAATTTGCAATTAGACTACTATAATGGAAAAAGTTCTCTTGTGTAGTACAAGGCTGTCTTTAGAACTAGTTTGTTCAGTACTCATCAATAATTTAAGTAAAAGCACAAAAACACAAACATCAGACCTGTACATCACAAAGCCCACATTTGTCTCACGTTACGTAGCAGGCTCCAAATCCAAAATTCTCTCAACCAGATGGTGAAGTAAAGCAGCAATAAACTCAACATTTGTTTTTAAAATTAACCACATAGGCAAGAACGAGATTAAGAGCTGTTTCATGTCCTCAATTTTAAAAATAACCATATAGGGCTGGGTGGTGGCTCATACCTGTGATCCTAGCACTTTGAGACGCCAGGAGTCTGAGACCAGACTGGCCAATGTAGTGAGACCCCATCCAAACAAAAACCGTACATTGTGGTGTGGGCCCTGGATTGGGTCCAGGAACAGAAAACTAGATCACTGGTTGTCAAGGGGCAGGGGGAGCCTGTAGTTCCTGGTACTCTAGAGACTGAGGCATAAAGATTGCTTCAGCCCAGGAGTTCAAGGCTACAATGAGCTATGATGGCGCCACTGTGCTCCAGCCTGGGTGACAGCAGTACTCCGTGTCTGGGGGGGAAAAAGTCTGATCTACAAAGTTGTCAGCATTCCATAAGAAATGTCCCAAGCCGGGCTCGGTGGCTCAGCCTGTAATCCCGTGCTTTGGGAGGCTGAGGTGAGTGGATTGCCTGAGCCTGTGGGTTCGAGACCCGCCTGGGCAACTTGGCAAGGCCTCATCTCTACAATTAAAAAAAAAATTAGCCGGGTGTGGTAGTGTACACCTGTAATTCCAGCTACTTGGTCCAAATTAAAAAAAAAAAAAATGTCCCATTAGGAACCACTGGGTTCTTAAGTCATAGCTCAGGTTTCATGCATCTGAGACTTGGGAGACAAACATCAGATTAACTGTGGGAAAGGTAGGGCACAAAAATTCTCATTTGGCCAACATCTAGTAATTCTGGATCTCCTATTCAGGGTATAGGATGAGTTATCAGCAAAGCAGCAGATAAGCCTTTATTGTCAATGTCTCTCCTATTCTGAAAGCACACCAGAATTTCTAGAGTTACTAAACAAGCCTGCACCATAGTGGGCCAACTTAAGACATGGTTTTAACGTCAAGCACTAGCTTGAGGCATTCAAGTTAGTTTTCACTTTTGAAATCTTTTCTGAGTTGGAGTCTCACTCTGTTGCTCAGACTGGAGTGCAGTGGCTGCTCCCAGCCCCTGCAGCCTCGCTGCTGGGTTCTACCAATCCTTCCACCTCAGCCTTCCAAGTAGCTGGAACTACAGGTGCGCACTACCACGCCCACCTAATTTTTGATTTATTGTAGAGATGAGGCCTCATCAAATTGCCCAGGCAGGTCTTCAACCCGCGGGCTCAGGCAATCCGCTCACCTTGGCCTCCCAAAGCGCTGGGATTACAGGTTGAGCTACCGAGCCCGGCCTACATTTTCAACCAATTCCAAGTCAACATGGAATGTCACTCTTCAAAAAATTCATCTATTGCATTGTACTGGCTCATGAGTACCAGTAGGTGGTGCTCAAGCCCGACAGCCGTCACACCCTGTTCAGAGAAGTTAATCTGTGAGCAGCTGAGCTGGGATCTCCCATAATGGCAATTCTCCAGTTAGGTCTGGACTTCTTGGGGGGTGAACAGTATTTTTCCTGGTAAACCCTACAGCTGCCAACCCACTTTCACTATTCTGAAGAACCCTGCCATTCCTTGTTCCTTTAACCAGGCAGCCCACCCACACAGGAGGCAAGACGCTGCCTAAGGTAACAGTCATTCAGCATGCAGCTCTCGTTGCTGAGCCGCAGTTTGAAACTTGTCTACAACCCCATCGAGTCCAACTAAATGGGCCAGCACCACTGCCTTGTCTCACTTGGCATAAATTTGCCTTTGTCCTACATATTTTCCCCATCTTTCAGACATAATTCTTTCCTCTTATAAGCAAACAAAAAAAAAGCCCTCTGAAGTACTAACTACAAATTCTGGCTAATACAATCCATTTCCAGTAGTGCCTTGAACAGCACCCAGTAAATCTCCAAACCCACTACAAACTAAAGCCCAAAATGGGCCTGCCTGCCCTGTACCTTCCTTTATCAACTTGACGTTTAATCCCCAGTATGGCACTATTAACTCTTCACCAAGTCTCATTTAAACTTTTACAAGTAGATTCCTATTTATCACAGTTAATAGTAAACCTCCATTATTTTTCCTAGGTGCCCAGTATTATCTAAACCTTAACGCCTTTAGATTAGCTGTTACATTGTTTGTAAAATGCACATTACAGTAACTGGGAAACAGGTTGCAATTAACTTTGATTGCAAAAACCAGTATTTGGCAGGCGACTTGGCTTGTGATGATCAAAAACATGCTGTTTCTGTCCTAGTGTTACAACCAGCATAGTCCTCCTATACCTTTACCAGGTAAGTCCAAGTTCCTCCCACTGCCATCAAAAATGGAATCATATCCCTTGTAGCAACACAAATGGATCTGAGATCCTAAAACAAATCAAGATGCAGAAATCCGACATGTTCACTTGTTAGCAGAAGCCAACTGGCCTAGAAAACGCAACACTTGAAACATCAGTAAGGGCAGGTAAATGGGTTAGGGTTTTCAGCAATGACTTAATGGGTACAATATTCACTATCTGGGAAAAGGGCCAGGAGATGCCCAATTCCCACCAACAATGTTGATGTAACATGCACTTGTGCCCCCCACCCCCAAATCTAGATTTCACCACCCTCAGAGTGGGGATAAGGAATCCTTGTAGCACCATACCCAGAAAAAGGTATTAACTGAAAATTATGAAGTTCCAGCAGATTCTCAACACCAGAAATGTCTTTCACCTAAAGCATTTTCAGTTCTGACCAAAAAGACGACACAGGTTTTTCTCATTAAACTTTGTTTTAATGGGTCTCAAAATTCTGTGACAGATTTTTGGTCAAGTTGTTTCCATTAAAAAGTATTGATTTCAAAAACTAATAACTTAAAACTGCCACACGCGAAAGGAAAAAAAAAAAAACCCAAAATGGTCCACAAAACATTCTCCTTTCCTTCTGAAAGTTTTCCGATGCATTGTTATCATTAACCAGTCTTTTACTATTAAACTTAAATGGCCAATTGAAACAAACAGTTCTGAGACCGTTCTTCCACCACTGATTAAGACTGGGGTGGCAGGTATTGGGGATAATATTCATTTAGCCTTCTGAGCTTTCTGGGCAGACTTGGTGACCTTGCCAGCTCCGGCAGCCTTCTTGTCCACTGCTTTGATGACACCCACAGCAACTGTCTGCCTCATATCACGGACGGCAAAACGACCTATTAAAACAAATGTAAGAAACTGCTCAGAGTATGTTTCACCTTTAGTACAACTTGTAAGCAAGCAGAAGTACTCATCCTTACCCAGAGGAGGATAGTCAGAGAAACTCTCCACACACATGGGCTTGCCAGGAACCATATCAACGATGGCAGCATCACCAGACTTCAAGAATTTAGGGCCATCTTCCAGCTTCTTACCAGAACGGCGATCAATCTTTTCCTTCAGCTCAGCAAACTTGCATGCAATGTGAGCTGTGTGACAATCCAGTACAGGGGCATAGCCAGCACTGATTTGGCCTGGATGGTTCAGGATAATCACCTTTGAAAAAAAGATTTGCGTTCAATAGAACTCAAACAACTTTAGGCTCCTCAGCAGTTATCATGTCTCTTTTCTGAAGTTACCTGAGCGGTGAAGCCAGCTGCTTCCATTGGTGGATCATTTTTGCTGTCACCAGCAACATTGCCACGGCGAACATCTTTGACAGACACATTTTTGACATTGAAGCCCACGTTGTCCCCAGGAAGGGCTTCACTCAAAGCTTCATGGTGCATTTCAACAGACTTCACTTCAGTTGTAACGTTGACTGGAGCAAAGGTGACCACCATGCCAGGTTTGAGGACACCAGTCTCCACTCGGCCCACAGGGACAGTCCCAATACCTAAAATGTTTACAGCAGTCTCATAAATACAATACAGTACAGCCCCACAAACACAAACGGTATCTCCCCAAATCAACTTTCACCTTAATAGCACACTAACAGTCAACTTACCACCAATCTTGTAGACATCCTGGAGAGGCAGACGCAGGGGCTTGTCAGTTGGACGAGTTGGTGGCAGGATGCAGTCCAGTGCTTCAAGCAGCGTGGTTCCACTGGCATTACCATCTTTACGAGTGACTTTCCACCCCTTGAACCAAGGCATCTAAAACAGAAGAGTGACCGACCATTTGTGTCACCATCAAATCATCGCTCCAACCTTTTTTAGCAACTGTCTCCAAAGTCACTTACGTTAGCACTTGGCTCCAGCATGTTGTCACCATTCCAACCAGAAATTGGCACAAATGCTACTGTGTCAGGATTGTAGCCAATTTTCTTAATGTAAGTGCTGACTTCCTTAACAATTTCTTCGTATCTCTTCTGACTGTAAGGTGGCTCAGTGGAATCCATTTTGTTAACGCCAACAATTAGTTGCTTCACACCCAGTGTGTAAGCCAGGAGAGCATGCTCACGGGTCTGCCCGTTCTTGGAAATACCAGCTTCAAATTCACCAACACCAGCAGCAACAATGAGGACAGCACAGTCAGCCTTTAAAGAAAAGGACACATCTGTGTTAGAAAAAGAAAGGACCAACCCAGGTTTCCCCAATGTGAAAAATACACCCAACAAGCTATTAACCCCACAAACCTGAGATGTGCCTGTAATCATGTTTTTGATGAAGTCTCTGTGTCCTGGAGCATCGATGATAGTGACGTAGTACTTGCTGGTCTCAAATTTCCACAGGGAGATATCGATGGTGATGCCACGTTCACGCTCAGCTTTCAGCTTATCCAAAACCCAGGCATACTTGAAGGAGCCCTTTCCCATCTGTGCAGATTAAAAGGGTTACTTGGTTACTAAAATACCAAACTACAGCTTGAAATTCCTCTCCTCCTTATTTGGCAGAAAACAAAGATTCCGCTTTAAAACCGCTGAACCTAGACGAATATCACCAATGCGCTGCAAAACTAAGCATGTCTAAGCTTACGACTCACCTAGTGAGTGGCATTCCCTAGTTTTGGAAAAATTACCACTCAATGATTTTGCTGGCAAACCAACCTCAGCTAAAACTCTGTTCGTACCACTCACTGCACCTACCTCAGCAGCCTCCTTCTCGAATTTCTCGATGGTTCTTTTGTCGATGCCGCCACATTTGTAGATCAGGTGGCCGGTGGTGGTGGACTTGCCGGAATCGACGTGTCCAATGATGACGATGTTGATGTGCGTCTTTTCCTTTCCCATTTTGGCCTTTAGGGGTGGCTTTCACGACACCTGGAAGGGACAAGAGCGCCTTGGGAACCCCGTCCCACCCAGGGCCTCCCGAGCCCAAGGCCCGAGCTCGCAGGGCAAACTCCAAAGGGTCGACGTCCAGCCCCCGCCCCCGCGTGGCGAGCCACGGCCGGGCGGGCCCTGCCGGCGAGGAGCCCTGCTCCCCGGGCGGGGGGCGGCCCGGGCCGCAGGAAGCGGCGGCGAGGGACGGGCCTTCCTTTGTGTGGTGACTCACCCGCCC